AATGAATACTTTAATTTAGTATGAAATCAAAGGCTCTCGTTAATATTGTGATATCAAAGGTTCAGTTAATATGAGATCAAAGGTTCTGTTAATAAAAGAGAAGGCTGATGGGCTACTTACACAGGCTTCTTATGTTAGAAGGAAGAAACGCCTGTAGACCCAGCTACTCAGGAGGCTGAGGCAGAAGGAGTGCCTGAGCCCAGGAGGTCAAGGCTACGGTGAGCCGTGATCATGCCACTGCACTCCACCCTGGGCAACAGAGTGAGACTCTGACTCATAAATAAATAAGTAAATCTTACAAAAACAAATTTCCAATGTTCTGGTCCTAAGAAAGCCAAACATATTTCAAGAACCTGCCTCTTACTAGTTTAGAAGATGTAGCAAAGGCAATTACCGTATATACTTTTTTTCCTTCTAAATATATATTGCTGAAAGTCTTGCTGGTTTATAGGTAGATTGGTTCACAGAAGTCACACTGGGAAATCTACTTAGAACCATGATTTTAGACATGATATTCCTTGACATGGATTATAATAGAATAACTTTAGTGATAAATTATTAAAATTTGATGTGCTAGAAAAATGAATACTTCTTGGGCTGAAACTTTCACTGATAATGTGTTTCAATTCTTCAGTGACAGCCTTAAAAACAAAACATCTTGAAGTATGAAAACTACAATCTATAATAAGCTCTTAGAAATAGTTTTCTACATTTTTTTTTTTTGAGATGAAGTCTCGCAGTGGCACATTCATAGTCACAGCAGCCTCTACCTGCTGGGCTTAGATGATCCTTCCATTTCAGCCTTCTAAGTAGCTGGAACCACAGGCATGTGCCACCACCCCAGCTAATTTTTTGATTTTATTGTAGAGACGAGGTCTCGCCATGTTGCCCAGGCTGGTCTTGAAGCCGTGGGCTCAAGCATTCCTCTTACGTTGGCCTCCCAAAGTGCTGTGATTACAAGCGTGAGCCACTGCACCTGGCTAGTTTTCTAAATGTAATATAATAATGCCGTCTCAAGGTTAGAACCAGAGTAATAGAAAGAAAAGCAAAGACCAGGCATGGAGGCTCCTTCTTGTAATCCTAGCACTTTGGGAGGCCAAAGTGAGAGGATTGCTTGAGCCCAGGAATTCAAAACCAGCCTGGGCAACACAACAAGACCTCGTATCTACAAAAAAATCAAAAGAGTTAGCTGGGCATAGTGTCATGCTCCTGTAGTCCCAGCTACTTGGGAAGCTGAGACAGGAGGATCGCCTGAGGCTAGGAAGTTGAGGTTGTAACGAACTGTGATTGTGCCACTGCACTGCAGTCTGGGTGACCCAGTGAGACCCAGACTCAAAACGAAAAAAGAAAGAAAAAAGAAAAGAAAATCAATAAATTATCTGACCTAGCCCTCTTGTCTTAAAAATGTGAAGGTTTAAATCAACTAAGTTAAAATTGTCAAGAAAACCAGTCCATTCTGATAACTGTTCTATAAGGCCAGTCCATTCTGATAACTACATATAGATAAATAACAGACACACACACGCACACAATTATGGCCACCAATTTCTTCCTGTATTGCCCAGGCTGGTCTCAAACTCCTGGGCTCAGCCGGCCTCGGTGGCTCAGCCTGTAATCCCGTGCCTTTGGGAGGCTGAGGTAAGTGGATTGCCTGAGCCGGCGGGTTCGAGACCCACCTGGGCAGGCGAGACTTCACCTCTACACTAAAATCAAAAAATTAGCCGGGCGTGGTAGCATGCGCCTGTAATTCCCGCTACTCAGAAGGCTGAGGCGGAAGGATCTCCGGAGCCCAGCAGGTCGAGGCTGCGGTGGCCAGGAGTGGCCACTGCACTCCAGTCTGGGCAACAGAGTGAGACTCCAACTAAACAAACAAACAAACAAAAAAAAACTCCTGGGCTCAAGCAGTTTTCCCGCTTTAGCCTCCCAAAGTGCTGAGATTACTGTCATGAGCCACTGTTCTTGGCCTGTTTTTATTTTTAATTGACATATAATAATTATACATATTTATAGGGTACATACATGTATACATCGTATAATGATCAAATCTGGGTAATTAGCATACCCATCACCTCAAATGGTTATTTCTTTGTGTTGGGAACATACAAAATCCACGTTTATAGCTATCTTGCGATATACAATACCTTATTGTTGACTGTAGTCATCCTACTGGGCAATAGAACTTATTCTGATGTAACTTGGTATCCCTTGACCATTCTCTCCTCATCCCTTCCCCTCCAACCCCCCCAGCCCCACCCCCAAGTCTCTGGTAGTCACAGTTCATTCACTACTTCTATGAGATCAACTTTTTTAGATTCCGAATGTGAGTGAGAACATGCGGTATTTCTCTTTCTATGTCTTGTTTATTTTACTTAGCAATGTCCTCCAGGTTCATCCATGTTATTGCAAACTAATTTCATTCTTTTTTGTGGCTGAATAGTATTCCAGTATGTATATATCCCACATTTTCTTTATCTATTCATCTGTTGTTGGACTTAAGTGGTTTCCCTATCTTGGCTATTGTGAATAATGCTGTAATAAACATGGGAGTACAGATGTCTTTTTTCCATACTGATTTCATGTGCTTTGGACATGGTAGTTCTATTTTTAATTTTTTGAGGGAACTCCATACTGTATTCTATAATGGCTGTACTAATTTACACTCCCACAAACAGTATGTAAGGGTTTCCTTTTCTCCAAATCCTCACTAACACTTGTTATCCTATCATTCTAACAGGAGTGAGGTAGTATCTCATTGTGGTTCTGATTTGCATTTCTCTGATAATTAGTGACATTGAACATTTTTTTCATGTATTTGTTGGTTATTTGTATATCTTTTTTTGAGAAATGTCTATTAAAGTCTTTGACCCATTTTAAGATTGAATTTTTTGGGGGGTTTTTTGTTGTTGTTGTTGCTGTTGAATTCCTTATATATTCTGGATATTAATCCATTGTCAGATGCATGATTTTCTCTCATTCTCTAGGTTGTCTTTTTTCTCTGTTGATTGTTCCCTTTGCTGTGCAGAAGCTTTTTAGTTTGATATAATTTCATTTGTCTATTTTTGCTTTTGTTGTCTGTTTTCTTTATTTTTTGGTTTTGGGTTTTTTTTTTTTTAGTCCAAATCTCAGTCACCCAGGCTGGAGTGCAATGGTGTGATCACAGCTCACTATAGCCTCAGTCTCCTGGGTTCAGGTGATCCTCCTGCCTCAGCCTCCTGAGTAGCTGGGACTATAGGCATATGACACCATACCTAGCTCATTAAAAAAAAATTGTAGAGACTAGGTCTCACTATATTGCTGGTTTCAAATTTCTGGACTTAAACAATCCTTCTGCCTTGGCCTTCCAAAGTGCTAGGATTACAGGCATGAGCCACTACTTCTGGCCTTCCTGTATTTTGAGGTCTTATCCAAAAAAATTATTGCCCAGTCCAATGTCATGAAGCATCTTCTCTGTTTTCTTGTAGTAGTTTTGTGATTTGGGTTCTTATATTTAAGTCTTTAACCCATTTTGAGTTAATTTTTATATATGGTAAAAGGGAGTCCAGTTTCATTCTTCTGCATGTGGATATTCAATTTTCCCAGCACCATTTATTGAAGAGACTGTCCTTTCTCCACTGTGTGTTCTTGGTACCTTTGTTGGAAATCAGTTAGCTATAGAAGCATGGATTTGTTTCTGAGGTCTATATTCTGTTCCATTGGTCTATGCATCTGTTTTTATGCCAATACCATGATGTTTTGATTACTATAGCTTTATAGTATATTTTGAAGTCAGATAATGTGATGCCTCTAGGTTTATTGTTTTGTTTTTCATGAAATTGCTTTGAATACTCAGGATCTTTTGTGGTTTCATATTAATTTTAAGATTTTACTATTTTACTATTTCTGGGAGGAATGTCATTGGAAGTGAATCTCCCTCTTACCCCAGTGGCTTCACAGAAAATTTTATATAGTTATTTATTTTTATTTCAATAGCTTTAGGTGGTACAGATAATTTTTGGTTACATGGATGCGTTGTATACTGGCAAAGAAGTCTGGGCTCTTAGTGTACCTACCACCCCCACCTGTGCACATTGTGCCTGATAGGTGATTTTTCTTCTCACCACACCTGAAGTCGTGAACTTTGAGCTGACCCTTAAAGATGGAGGAGATTTAAGTGAATTAACACTAACGGGGACTCCATGCTTGTCAGCGTAGTCCTAGAAACCTAATAAACAATTGTCCTGAAGTAAGAGACAGCTTCCTGTTGAAGAGTAGGGGTGGCTGGATAAAGGAGAGAGAGGCCAAGTGATAGAGAGCTGTCAGTTCAGGCCAAGGAGTTTGAGTTTGCAGCCATAATCACTAGAGCATTAGCGCATGGTTTATTTTGTTTGTTTTTAAGTTGAAGTCTCACTCTCTCACCTAGGCTGTAGTGCAGTGGCATGTCACCACATCCCTGAATTCCTGGGCTCAGACTATCTTCCCTCCTCAGCCTCCTGAATTGCTGGACTATAGGCATGGCCCACCACACCCAGCTAATTTTTTTTTATCTTTGTAGAGACAAGGTCTCACTATGTTGCCCAGGCTGGTCTCAAACTCCTGGGCTCAAGCAGTCCTCCTGCCTTGCCCTCCCAAATTGCTGGGATCACAGGCATGAGCCACCATACCTGACTAGTGCATGTTTTCGAGGAGTGATAGAATAAAAACTGTATTTTAGGACAGTGTTTGAATTTTTAGTTCATGGTGGACACTAATAAAAAAGCACAGATAAGAACATTTTTCCTTGTCTCATACAATGAAGAGACAGTATGTGAAGGCGCTGACCCTTCATCTGGCACCCTTCACGTGTTAACTTCTGCATAAGCACTTTAGAACACTTTTGGATAGATATCATGTGAAAGCATTTCCACTGAGGCTACATGGGAAGTGCATGCAAGTGGGTTTTGGGCTTTCTGTTTGGCATCTCTTGGATGTGTCTGTTTTGTTGTGGTTGGACTTTTCCCTCACATATTCTTTTATCTCTGTAGGTTGCTGCTCTTGCTCCTTGGGAAATGGTGAATTACACTGCTCGTCAATAGAGCCGGTAGCAAACCCAAGCACCAGCAGGCCTGCGACGCCATCATTTGAAAAAAGTAAGTACCTCTGGGCTATGAGGATGGGCTGGAGGAACAGAAGATTCCTTATCTTTGTGCCTTAAAAGAACTCTCCATAGGGCTGGGTGTGGTGGCTCATGCCTGAATCCCAGCACTTTGGAAAACTGAGGCAGGAGGATCACTTGAGCCCAGGACCAGCCCGGGCACCAGGGCAAGATCTTGCCTCTACAAAAAAAATTTAAAAATTAGCCAGGTGTGGTGGCGTATGCCTGTAGTCCCAGCTACTTGGGAGGCTGAGTCAGAAGGGTCACCTGAACCTAGAAGGTCAAGGCTACAGTGAGCTGTGATTGTGCCACAGCACTCCAACTGGAGCAATGGAGAGACCTTGACTCAAAAAAAAAAAAAAAAAAAAAGAACTCTACATCTAATTTCTATAGAAGCCACAAACACTGTTTCAGAATATGAATTCTCAAATAAGGTGGGAAAGTGCTAATAGGATAAAAATTGTGTATAGATAGAACACCATTTAAAAAATGAAAGTTATCATGAAGAAGTAATAGATAGCTATGATTATATCACTCTACTTCAGTTTGGTGATAGAGCTAGAACGTTTCTTAAAAAAAGAAAAGAAAAGAATAAGAAATGTGAGGAGTGTAAGAAATGATGTATGCAAATCACTTGGCAGTGTATGGTATACATACCAAAAGCTTGTTAAATATAGTAGTAGCAGTAGTATTGTTATTCACTTGGGGTTTATATTTGGCTGCTATCTGCTGGCTAAGAATGAATCTTAAATACAATAATAGTAGAATTCATGTTTCCATAGAAAGGAGTGAAAATATTTCAGATGTTGAACATTCACTTTTTCTGATAGGAAGCCCTTTCTGACAATCGGTTAAAATGTCTTTCAGTTTTTAATCTTTTCTAAAGTTACTGTTTCTTTCTTCCTTATTGTTTCCCCCTACATAATACACCTAATAGTAAAGTTCACTAACAAATTCAATATGTAATCTGATTCTGCAACTTTTTGTTAATTCCAAAATTCTCCTTAGGCTTTGCTTACCTGTCATTTTCTTTATTAATAATCTTAATTCTTGAAAACTTTTTTAAATTATTGGGGCTTCTTGGGTTTTCTGATCAGATTTCGCAAAAATTATATAGAGTTAGAGCCATTATATAGGGCTTCATCTATTCACATAGTTTACTATCACTCCTAAGCCTGAAATAAATGAAAGGAAGTCTAAAAGAAATCAAATCATGGGAAAATGAAAATTTTTAGAGTTTAACAATATAATTCATTCTCTATCCTCTGTCATAGTACAAAGGCAAAATGAATATTGCATTTAGATTGTTGAATGGCAGTAATGTGTGAAAAAGGCAAATGGAAGATAGGAAAATGTATTTGAAATATCTGTACATAATATTTTTAAACTAGGTTAATAGATATATATACACACATAGTAGACTTCTAGAATTTTTCTATAGATGGATACATACAAATACTTTTTATTAGTATAGGATCGTCCCACAGAAAGTTTGGCAGCCTACTTTCTTTTTACTTAGCTACATTGGGAACTTTCCCCATGCCATACTATTAGGCTAGACCATGTTTAATGAGTGTATGTGTCCTTTTCTAAAAAATAACATTAGGCAATATAGATGTTTACTTTTAGCTTGAGCATAAGAGCTATAAATTGTGTGTTTTAATCCCTGACTTTCATAAGACTAGACATCTATTTTGTCAAGATGTTTTTCTATACTTTTACTGCCATATGTAGAGTGGAGTTGAGGTGGAAAACTAATCGTTTCTTGTAAAATGACCCTCTCTTCTGTTCTTGGCCAGAGAAGAGTCATGTCTGTGATTTGAGTTTGGTTCTATAGGTGAATAAGACATGGTGTATAATATTTATTTGTTTCCTTAAAGGTCTTTTCTAAGGTCAGGTGTGTTGTCTCATACTTATAATTCCAAGGCGAAGGTGAGAAGATTGAGTCCAGGAGTTTGAGACCAGCCAACATGATGAGACCTTGTCTCTACAAAAAATCAAAAAATAGCCAGGCATGGTGGCATGTACCTGTAGTCCCAGCTACTTGGGAGACTTAGGTGGGAAGATTGCCTAAGCCCAGGAGGTCGAGGCTATGGTGAGCTGTGCTCGTGCCACTGCACTCCAGTCTGAGTGACAGAGTGAGACTCTGACTCAAATAAAATAAATAAAGGGTCTTTTCTAAGGCAAATTTTGAACTCTTTAATGAGAAGCAAGAGATGATAATAAATTTGTCTTGCAGTTAGCCAAAATTGGACTTTCATGACTAATATGTAGATTTATTAGGGGCAAAACTTGAGTTATTATTTTGGCCTTTAAGAATTTTATATATGTAATTATATAATAGAATGTAGAATTATGTAATAGAATTTTATGTATGTATAAAACATTGTTGACTAATGTAAGAGGGAACTTCTGTAGGCGACTTGCGTTTGTTCAGATAAAAGACCTACCACTTGGACTCTCCTAAAACAACATGACGGAGCTTCCCTCCAATTTCATCTAAAATAATAGACTGTTTCTTAGCTGAATATGCTTTTTGGTTGTTTCTCCTAGGAAGTCATTACACATTTAAAATGCATTCAAATCAAAAGCCCTGATTACGAATTGTCATGCTTACTGCTTTATAGATGATCACTGTGTGAGTCGCTGTAACTCCCAGAGCTGCATATTAGCCCAGGAGGAAGAACAGTATCTACAGAGTGGAGACCCACAGCTGACCCGGCACGTGCTGCTGTGTTTACTTCTCATCATTGGCCTGTTTGCTGTAAGCGGCTTATCTGGTTTTGTTCTGTGGCCATTTCTGTAAATGTTTGGCAAAGGTTTTATTCAGGCACCTGGGAGAACCTAATTGCTACTTTCTAGAATTGTGGCGGCTAGGTCATCAGCATCCTAATCTCAGGCTAAATGTCTGCAGAGAAGAGAATGACTCACTCACGCCCTCTGTGGCCTAAGTGCTCCAATAGCTTATGCCGCTTAGAATCACTTGCTTATTCTGTGCTGGGAACCCAGAATTTGGTAAAACAGGTATTTGAATGTGGTGTGCAGGGCCACTTATTCCCAACATACTTGACTAACCAAAGTGAATAAATGCCTGCATGAGTCTCTCCTGAAGATATTCCTTCGATAAACTTTTAAAAAGAACGTTTAATTCTCAAAATAATATAACCACTTCATAGAATAGAGAAAAGGGGAAAAATATCTATCACACTACTGCCTTCTAGTTTTTAAATATACTTTTCATGGTTCTGGTCACACATAGAGTTTTATATCCTGCTTTCGTCAAGCATTTTTTGGTCACACATTTTCATGTTGCTACACAGTGTTTATAGCCATGACTTTAAATGGCTCCCCAAATAAACCATAGAAAAGATACACTATGATTTACTCTACCACTTCCTTGTGAATTGTTCCTAGCTTTTTGAAATACTGTAATAAACATCTTCCTGCATTATATTTCCTTATAGTAGATATACAAAGTTGATAACCTAAATCAGAGAGTATAAATATTCCTGTGACTTGACATGTGTTCTACTAAGTTGTTTTTTAGGGGGGCAGTTTAGATTTATAAAGTGTTCTCACTAGCACTGAATAATGTAAATTTTTTTTGAGTTGGAGTCTCACTCCATGACCCAGGCTGGAGTGCAGTGGCACGCTCACAGCCACACCAGCATCAACCTGCTGGGCTCCAGCGGTCCTTCCGCCTCAGCCTCCCAAGTAACCGGAACTACAGGTGCTCAATACCATGCCCAGCTAATTCTTTTTTTTTTTCTATTGAAGAGACAAGGTCTCACTAAGTCGCCTGGGCTGGTCTTGAACCCACAGGCTCAGGCAATCCCCTCATCTTGGCCTCCCGTGGGATTACAGTGCTGGGATTACAGGCTGACCCACCAAGCCTGGCCATAAATTTTTTTTTTTTTTTTTTTTTTTTTGAGTCGGAGTCTCACTCTGTCATTCTGTACTGGAATGTAGTGGCACACCCACAGCCACTGCAGCCCCAAACTGCTGGGCTCAGGCAATCCTTCTGCCTCAGCCTTCCAAGTAACTGGAACTACAGGCATGTACCACCATGCCCAGTTAAGTTTTTTGTTTTCTTGTGGAGATGAGATCTCCCCATGTTGCCCAGGCTGGTCTCTAACCCATGGGCTCAGGAAATCCTCTCACCTCCACCTCCCAAAGTCCTGGGATTACAGACGTGAGCCACTGTGCCAGGCTAAATACTGTAAAATTTTAAATATGATAATTTTACAAGTGAAATACAGTCCTGTATTTTAAAACAAAAACAAAAACGTGTATTTTGGCAGAGCTCGGTGGCTCAGCCTGTAATCCCAGTATTTGGGGAGGCTGAGGCGAGTGGATTGCCTGAGCCCACAGGTTCGAGACCAGC